AAATGTTATTTCCTCTTACTGTTTATTATTGCATTCACTCTTACTGTATTATTCTTTCCAGATAGATTTTAATCAATCCTACAGAGGATTTATATTAAAAAAATTAATCAGTTTATAACTCCCATTTTTCATCTGCCAAACTGTAATAATTGCATTTTATCAGAAAGGCTAGGAAAACTTAAACAGAATCTTACCATCCACAATTGCCATTGTGATTCTGGTGTCCCCTCCAATACAGCAATTCACAATTTTATCTGCTAATGATTATGCTTTTTAATAAAATAAAACAATAAATATCAAACCAGTCTTTATTCATGCAGGGACTGCATCAAATGCAAGCTCTCTTTCAAGCAGGGCTAGAAGCCTGTGTCAGGGAGCAGCGAGGCAGGGAGCGCGAGCCACGCTGGTGGCACAGGCAGGCCAGTGCCCTCACAGGTCAGGCACAGGCATCTTTTACTGCAGGCAGCACATCACAACTAACTCCAAAGCGGCCTTCTTAAGCTAGGTACTCTTTCACCCAATTTGCTTTAGCTCTGGTCAGCACACACTTAACCTGGATGGAGCCTATGCAAAAGACACCTGACGTGCTTGTTTGTTTTTCCATCCCAGGACTTACATTCTCAAAAATCATACCCCATAGGTAACCTCAAGGGCAAGTGTTTTTCAACATTTCTGTTAGTCTGTTCTATTTGTTTAATTCCGTAATTATGGGGCAGGGAAATTCTCACATAAACATCATAATCACAAACAATTTTATCTTGTTCTCTCTTTCCAACCACATCTCAGTGATTGAATCAGTAAACACACAAATACCTAGGTGCCTGAAGAATCAAACAGGCACCCTAAATATCCTTCGAAATCTGGGCTTTGGCATCTTACAACTCCATCTGCAGAATGTGGACAAAAAGCTCTCAGGCTATAAATAGATACTGTAATGCTTCATTACTTGAAAAACGGGAGCCATATTAATACTTAAATTAACAGGACAAACAGCACCAACATAGAGTGGTCTTCAGAGGTCTTACTCAGAAGTAAGAGCTTGTAAATCAAGTTAAGTAGCGTAGGAACATCATTTTCTGAAATCTCCATAATAATTTCACTCCTAAAACAGTCTTTAAGTTTCCCATGATTACAGCAAAAGCCTAAAAGAAGGTTTTCCATTCTATATTATCGTTGTTCCCTAATACTTCCCCTCATCTTTTATCAACTCTTGCATTTTGCATATAGCCATAATTGGCCATTATTCACTAAGGTGGTCTTGGCTTAAATGGAGCTACATGGGGAATTTTATGAAATATCACTGCCTGAAATGAAACACTGTATTTTCAATTTGAAATATTAATGCATCTGTGTGTATGAGGTTGGCAAGAAAGTAGTAAGACTGTATTCATAACTTGGGCAAACAACCAGTGAAACATAACGAGGCATATGTTAATTGTCATTTGGCCATGAACATTTTCGTTACCTTTTTCTTCTCTGTATGCACCTGACCTTGTTACATCCAGCAATTTGCTCTCATCTCTGCAGGCACATGGGTTTTTTTTTTTCCTTTCAGATAAGTATCTGGAAACCATATTTATTGTTTTATTTATAAAATTAAACATATGCTAACTGAAATAGAACACTAGCTTACTGCATACTTTTTATTTATGAAGCATACTTCATCCATTTTTCAACTGATTTTGTTTTCTTAGACTGTTCAGGGAAGATTAAACTAGACATTTAGATAATGGTGTAGCTCAGATCTCTTTTACAGGTGCTCAGTCTCCCCTTGTGACTCAATTAATCTATCCCTATTGCATTCAAGAAACACACACTTGGCTAAGATTTTGACTCATGGGCAAAGTTTTCAAAATGTTAGTAAGTTCTTCCCTTTCATCTCCAAATACTTAACAAAGAAGGCTTCTCAAAAAGCAGATTGACACCTTCTCAGTGAACATGAGGGCTGAGCAATGATACCTCTCTCTGTGAAAGCACAGTGTCAAGCTAGAAAGATTATGTCTCTGTTCCCCCATGGAATGCCCTCAGTTCTTTCCCTTCTGAAACTTGAAGTGGCCTCGGCTGCTCTATGTTGGGAGAAATTAGGAAGAAATTAATTAATCTGGAAGCAGGGTTGTCTTAGCTGGCTTTGGGACAGATTACAGAGGAAATCCAAAGGCACTAAGCTATCCAAAATGACTTTTCTGTTTTCAGTAGTGAATAGTGCTTGTTAGATTTGCCTGTTCTGAAAATTCAGAGCTAATATCTACATATAAAAGTAAGGATATCAAGAACAACATTCTAGGACATCTGGCCTCTTTTGTTTGTTTGTTGGGTTGGTTGGTTGGTTTTCTTAAGGTTGCTGACATCTGATACTGAGTGAAAGACTAATAAGCTGTCCTAATCAAGAAGGGTTTCTAGCAGTTGGTAAGTGGAGCATTTGGACTGACTAAGGAAACATACAATTATTAATAAACACTAATCAGTTGTTTAATGTTACACAATAAAGCATATACTTGCAAAATAGGCTGAGATTTCTGTATATCTAGAAAAGAGCCAGAACCACCCTTTGTGCCAACTTCAGCATATAGAGTCACAACTTGATATATAACAGCCTCTCAAGGACTACTGCCTGTGCAGAATTTTAGTAATGGTGTGTACAGTAGGAACTTAATTTATGTCTCTATTTCAGGGAAATTCTTTCCTGTCTCTTTTTCTTTTTTTCCTCTGAAACTACAAACAGAGAGGAAGGGATAGAGGTATTGTTTGTAGTAAAATGCATTTTTGTTCCAAATGTCTTGCAACACAAATTACATAAAAACAGGACTGTCAAAACCACATACCTCCATATTCTTTTTCTTTTCACTTCATTTGCGACTGAAAACAGAAGACATAAGCCTGAGTAAATACTAATAAAAAGAACAGTAACTAACCTCTTTGAGAGGAATAATAGAGGAAGGCACAGAGAAAATGAAGATAAGAACAAAAATTCACAAAGGAAACACAAAATCACAAGATGTCCTCAAACTTCACATGCTTGCTGATTATTCTCCTGCTCACCTCCGTAAGTCAGGCAAACACCTCTTTTTAGACAGACCACCACAGCTGAAATACACAGTTTTAACTTGTGGAGCTCTTAAAACTGTTTTCCTATCCTTTCTCCAGTTCTTCCTTGAGAGCACAAGCAGCAGGACCCCTACAGAGCTCAGAAGCCTGGCAGTTTCAACAGAAAGGCATGCTCACACTTTAAAACAGCTGATTGACCAAACAGGACACATCAGGAACAATCAATACATACCAACATATGTTTTAAGACATATTTTATTTAATGTGCAAAATTGCCAAGAAAGAACAGGTACAACTTCAACTAAGCTGTATATCAAATAACATGAAAAAAACTATGCCTTGTACCCATAAGCTTCATTTCTATAATGACCCTACAGTTCCAACTAAAAATATAGCCATTTGGTAATGACCCAGAACATCTTAAATATCTCTTTTTCAGTGATATGTACAATTCTACCATTGGTGCGTACCATGTTTTTAATTGAAAAAAGGAACCAGTTCTTGGATATTTTATTTCTGATTGCATAGTGTAAGATTTTAAATAATTATTTTCTTCCTCTTTCAGTTTAGTCCCTAGTCTTGACTTTACCAATCACTCTCAGTTTTGCAGCTCTAACTGGCTTCAGAAAACTCAAATTTGCCTATTTTCTACAGAAACACTTAAAAAATTTGTGAGTGATTTTCATAAACACAGCCATTACAATTTACTTGAATCAAGCTGTGAACAACCAAGATAAAACAGATATTTTGCAATCATACAGCGCTAGTCCTTTCTATAACTCAAAGGCAAAAAAAAAAAGGAAAGTTCATTTAATCAAGAAGTGAAATGCGTTGCACAGGAAGTGAGACAATTTATACATTTGATATACCATCTCTGGAAAGCCTTTTCCATCTGATAAAAGTGTAGAAGCTATTACTAGATGGGCTTCCTAGAACAACATAAATAATATCTGGAAGGGGTTGTTTTTTATTTTATTTTTTTTTAAATCCACATATATTTTAATACTACCAGTGGATCTGATAACATGAAGAGTCCCGAGCAATTACCAGGCTCCATGATATAACGAATAATGCTTTGTACTGAGGTATCAGCTTCTGCTCCAGGATTAGTTAAACATCTCAACAGCTGTGTGAGGATAGGTGTTTCTTCATGCCTACCTTAGACATGGGGACACTGAGGCATAGTTTGATCAAATACATTGCCCAGGGCCAATCAGAAACTCTGAAGAAAGGAAAACTGACCTCCGATCTCCTAACTTCCAGCTACCTATAACCAGGTACCATCCCTTCTCTCTCTGCACCATGAGAAGATACCGGCGACAGTTCGTTCCCTGACAGAATACTGGCTCAACCCCATTCTCCTTGAAGTGAGAAGGTGTTTTGACAGTAACTTCAATGGAACACATCATCTACATTCACGTTGCCTTAACACTAGGATGACGTCAGAATCACAAACCAAAACACTGGCCAAAGACATGCCGTGCCACAGCTAATTAAAAACTACATCGTATATGTTACTACTACTATCACACAAGCTGTACATCTGTGAGTTAAGGAGAGCAGCTTTTGTTGTACAATGCTGTAAAAGTCAAGACTCAAAATGCATAGCTACAGCAGCAAAGACGTTAAACAAAATAATAATGTCAAAGAATGTAAGACTATCTGTGCTATACACTTTTTTTCTAATGGGACCCAAAGAACTCTCTAGAAAGTCTTTATTGGGTGTGAGCTCTTACTGCTGTGTTGCTAAATACCAAATCAACATTCAGACCTTAATAAAATGGGTTCCATCTTATTTTATAAATTTTTTTTGGCTTCATGGTCATTTTTTCTATCAAACACATGACCTTGAATAAGTTTGAAACCACTTATACCAATATGAAGAAAACCTTCCCAGGCTCTCTATCATAGAAAGCAATATAAAAAACTAATTTTGTGGAGGGTAAAGTGTTTGGTTTTTTTTTCTCCCGCTTGCAATGTTGAATGTAGATAAAGGCAAGGATAAAGAATAAACCTCAAGTTTACTTACAGTTAAATCTCCCATGCTTATAACTGGGAAACAGAACAAGCTGTTAATGTTGTTATTTTTGTTCTGTTTTAACAAATAAGGAAATCAGAAACTAACAAAATACATATAATTGATTCCAAACAATTAACTTCAAACTCTTAGTCCTGCCACAGTGGTAAATCCATAATTACTTGGTGTCCACGCACTGCTAAATAGAAGGTTTACCACTTATTCTTCTACAACAGTCACTTGGCTTTTTAGATCCTGGCAAAACCCTGGCATAAGGCTGCTGCATTCTGCTGCTTCACAAGACAAAATATGTATTGCTTTTAACATGTAAACTTGCTGGTAATGCAGGACCTAAAAGCCACTGATTCCCTGTAAAAAGTCAGAGCAAGGATCTACCACTTTTTGTTTTACTTTAATAGGAGTTTTTAATTTATTTTTTAAATTTCTAATAATTTTTTAATTAATCATGTACACAGGCAGTCTTTACATGATCCCACTTGAGTCTGCAAAAGTCAGTGCTCCGCACCAGATATGAGATCTTAAATGATGCCACTGTGTGTTTTGGTGTTTAGACTGTAGCTTACACAGCATAGAAACGCACTGAAATGCAGTGAAGTGGGACAGGTTTTGGAAGAAAAATTCCTTTCCTTTCTAAATACTGTACTCAGTGGAGTCAATTTTTTGTAAAGTTTACAATCCTTTGGACTCATTAATGTCTACTATGTAAATGTGTATTTATCTAGTCACAAAATTATTTACAGAATTTAATAGGTGCTCTTTGAGAATGACTACTATTGAGCATGGAAATTCAGGAAAATTCAGGCACTTCTTAAAACAAGAATTATTTTGGCCAAATGCAAAAGTCAAGTCAAATTACTGAAACATCTCTTCATGATACTTGTAATTATTTTCAAGACATCTGTTATGCACGTGACCACCTAACTATTTAACACCCACTTCTCATCTTCAACGAGCTTTACAATGGTATAACCCTGGGAACTAACTCTTCACTAGTGTCTCTGTGCATTTTAAGGGAACCTTAAATGGATATGGACAAAGATGGATCTAAGAACCAGTTTTCAAAAAATATTTCTGTATAAAATATATATTCACATACATGTATTTTTTAAAAGGATTCTCAATAGGCATATGGAATCAAAGTGATTTTGAAAACATGAACTATTACTTGATTTTTTGGCCATCTCAACAGTTTTAAAAATCTGGGTCTAAACCATATTTCTGCCACACCACTTTGGATGGCTGTAGTTCTTGTATCTGTTCGTGTTAAGGGCCATCCAAGGGGCAAATGTGTTGCATGGTGCAGTCTTAACCACTTTCAGAGCCCCGTTGAAAGCCCTGTCCATCGCCTACATCTTGTATATTGCCTTAGCAAAAAATTTTCCCAGCCAACAGGAATCCCCAGACGTAGAGTTTTCTGATTGCTTTTCACACTTTGGGCACTGCAGAACATTTTTGACTAGTGACCCAGGATAGGACTGATACTTTTGGTAAAATGAAAATCAGTGTGCAATGCAATAAACTTCTCAATAAAAATGCTGCAGTTATCAGCTAGGTTTGCTTCTATCACTTGACCATGACATGACTAACTTTCTTTTTACATAGCAAGTGGGCACTCCAACCTATAAAATCTCAAATCTACAAGTTCACTTGTTCACTTGTTTTGCATTATTTGTTTATAGGAGAAAGGCAGGTATTCAAAAAAGCCTTCTAAATGAGCAATCTCATCCTCATTTTGCATGCCTAGACTTTAAAATGGAAAAATACAACCTTAAAGTATTTTGATAAGGAAAAAAAATCTCACCAAGTCCTGGAGTTATGGCCAAAGAATTAATGCCCTGAAAAGGAAATTTGGCATAGAAAGTGTAAGTTACCATTAGATACCTCCATTACGTATAGCACTGTTATAAAACCTACAAAGTGCTATGTATAAATAACATTGTAGAAAACAAGCTTGAGCTGATTCATTTCTTTTTGAATACACATCGCTTTGAAAAAACTGCTCAATAGGCCAGTAATGCATCTGAAGCAACCGCAGAGAACTAGGTAAAAGCTATTTACCCCATATACTCATTTTCAAAATTGTTTATTATTTACTCAAAAAAGTTGTATATTTGTACCCTTTTACGAAGGACAGGTAAGTGGAGAGAGGAGAGTTTTGACCCATCAGACATAAAAGAAGACTGTTCCTCTACACATGCTCTGACAAGTGAGCAGTTCTGAGCTCAGTAGAGCAAACTTTCCCTTGCCTTGCATTTTTCATAGCTTTTTACAAAAAAGCTAATGGAGTTAATGTACTAACATTCTGTACGATGCCTTTTTTTTTTTTTTCCTTTCCCCCCCTAATGGTTTACTAAAATATATATAAAAGATGACATATAACTTGGTGTTTTATTAAAAGAGATTATCTCTTTCTTAAAAGAGATATTGTATGCATCTTACCAGGCACACGCTGACGAACTGGAAACCCCTCAGAGGCACTGGAAACGGGTTAGTTTTGCCACTCTCTCAAGTGGATCTACACAGAGACTACACTTGGCTTATAAAAAGGAGCGGAAGCATTACCTGATATATGTTCTTGTGATAGGGCTGAGTGTTAATTTGCACACAGTGGTCACCAGCAATGAGAAGAATGTACCTTTCCAAGGAAATTTGCTTTAACACAACAATTTTCTAGCAGGTATGAGTTACCACACAAAAAAACCCTACTGCTTCCAGACTGTTAAGGCACTCCTGACTTGTTATTATTCTTCATACTATCCCACGCTTGATCTCTGCCTAGCCAATTTCACGTCAGTGAGATATGTGAAGCCATTGAGAATTGTCTATGTACAAGGAATGCAAGGTCAAGACTGTAAGTGATTTGCAGTATCTCTGGACACAGTACTCAAAACTACTCAAATATGTCCAGGATGTACAAGGTCAGCTAAATGAAATGAATTTTTGTGCTAGTTCAAAATATTATTACTGCTTTCAAGTTCCCTTAGGAGTTTTAGAAGCAGGCATTTAGATCTTACACACTTACATTGCAGGACTAAAAAACACATTAAAATGTAATTCATTCTTTATAGTCAGACATCTTAAGATCTAACATAAAGCTGTAGAATAAGTTAATATTGTATGTATCTTCCCTGAAACAAGACAGAGGCCTCATCTGAGTTCTGCTACTTAATCCAATGCTACTTTTTCTATGCACTTTGTGTTTGTACCTCACATTTTCTTTCCTCCGTGTCTCACCTTTTCAAAGTTAGTCTGAAAAAGAAATAATCATTACTTAGGATAGTTTCTCCATTTCTGTATAGGATTTACATGTACTTCTATCGAGTTCTATCCATAATATTATTAGATACAAATATTATTCATATTTCTAAATTGAGTGTTAGGCTTCTCATATATTCAGATAATACATTTTTCTCAAAAAATGGCTGTCAGAGAGCGCCCTCTTAACCAAGTTACTGTTCTACTAATGTCAATAAAACATCATACATAGTGCACCTACTGCGAGTGGTCATTACCCATATATGGAGAAGTAATTCCATGTGAGTTTAATTTGCAGATGTTTCTACTAATGATTTACAAATCTGAGGACAAACGTTGATCAGAACATCAACATTTTTTGTACACAGAAAACAGTATTTTCACATTAATATTTAACAATATTTGAAAGCGAAATGGGGGAATTTATTAGAAATCCCTTTATGACTAAGTCATTATCAGTAAAAATGTCATAAATATATTCTGCTGAGGTCATAACCTTAACCAGGTATATTTTCTTATTTGAAATCAGTATTGAAAAACTATATTGCAATTGTAGCCATACAAAATTTTATTATATTACAAATTATTTGTACACTATATTATCACTTTATCATTGCTTTGTGCTCAGACAGTATAAATATTACAGCATGATTTCTCTTTCCCAAGAATGTCCTTACTGTCTTGATATAAACTTGCTTTGTACTTCAAAAGAAGTTACAGAAACATATTACAAACAAGATAAAAAGCCATTATGAATGAAGAATGTAAAATATCTTTGTGAACAAAGTGCACCACAATGGTTTCAGAGTGATGTGTCAAGGACTATTCCATAGACTGCAAATATTCAATACAATATCAAACAAAATTAATTTTGAAAGCCTAACAGGTCTTCCTCAGTTGTATGCAGAGTACTTTGTTTAACTTTACTGAAATGCTTTGTCTTTCCAAAAGGCTATTTAAATGTTTTTATTTTGTTGTTTTTTCCTTTGTTCATTTTGCTTGCATGTAGGTATTCAACCTCTGTACATATATCTAACTTCCAAATTGTTTGATTTCCAGTATGGCAAGATATACGCTTGGCTTTACCCACACACGTGTCTCAACAGAACTACTAATTCACTTAAATTTAAGAAGGGGTACAGATTTACAAGCAAAGCTAAGTTTCCCAAAGATGCTATTTACCTCTGGGAGGTCATACCTCCCGTCACTCTTTAGGGAATGCATCATAACATTACCCTTCCCAGCTATATTGCTTCAGCGCTTCCATCCATCTCTGCTGCTTCCATAGCTGCAGCTTTAGGATAATTCTCCAAAACTGGAGGCTAAGATTCAGAAATTTATATCACAGGGCATTTCATTCCCATTGCATAGAAGGGCTTATCTACATGCAAAATTTCACTGGATTAACTAGATGAATGATTCAAAACCTGAGATAATAAAGCAGATGCAAAATGTGACTGACACAAATGAACATAAATTTCACTTACCAAGTTAGCTCAAGTTGGTTACGAAGCAGATTAGGCTAAATAAAAATAAGCCGCTCTTCAATTATGTCTGCACTTGTGTTACAGTAATTTAAATATACTGACTGAAAAATAAGCACACTAATATTCAAATGATTCTAGTTAAATTTGCATGTATAGACAAAACCTAATAGAGAAACTCAGCCTTGCTTTCAGGGAGTTAAGTTCCCACTGAAGCCAAACAGAATTATTCTATTTAGGGCAAGCTGAGTTTGGATCTGTATTTTTAAGACATTCTTTTTAACTGTGATATTTTTAGGCAGTTATTAATTCAACACAAAAAGACATTTGGATGTATTATCGTGTTACACTGATAGATCAGTATTAGTTAGATGACAGGTAACTGAAACCGCAGTCCGTCTTTCGTAGACTTATATTCATATGAAAGATAGAGTTTCTTTGGTTGTTTATTATCCAAGTCACCCAAATGTATATTTGTGTACTCTAGACATGTTAATATTGATTCGTAAAATTACTAGCATTTTTTTTCTTTTTTTTTTGCACTTGGTTTATGGAAATCTTTATGTCTGAAGATAGCAGACTAGTCACTTATATAAATATACAGTATATATACATAGAGATTACAAAAATACATTTTATTTATATCTGATTTTTAAATAATAAAAATGAAATTTCACATTTGTTTAAAGAGCAATTAGAATTCCAAAAGCTTTTGTAACATTTAAGGTTTTGGAGCAGAAGATATCTGTATATTCTAGGATGCTATTCATCGCAACGTCAAACAAGGTTTATAATGTAATTTGGGGGGGGGGGAATAGCTCTGTTTTAAAAGTTTGTGCTTCATCAGTTTCTTCTTCTCTCCTCTATTCTAGTCTTTTCTCTCCTTCTCCTCTCATTTTTCTGATGATCAAAAAGCTAAACCAAGTTCCCTTTGTCACCTCAGTAAAGACCAAACAAACTCATGAAAATGAAATGATCAGCCAAAACAGCATAAGCAATTGATGCTAAATAAAAAACTTACTAAGATGAAGGACATTACCTTTAACTCCAGTTGACATCAAACATGCCCAACACAAAGTATTTTATAACAACTTCAGCTCCCAAAGCTAACTGCTGAAGGAACTGAAAACAAGTTTTCATGATCTCCGACTATTTTGTATAACTGCAAAAGATAAATTACTATCCCATTCAACTGCTTAGATTTTCTTTTTGGATTGGATTCATACCACAGTGCAGTTTAACAGTTAGTGACCTTTACCTTGGTAAGTGTAAAGTCAACATAGTTTCAGGAAATATTCTCTTTCTCACAGAACATGAGTAGTTTTGTTAATCCATGTAACTATTCACGTATTTACATGTTAATATAGCAATGATGTCCTCTACATTCAGAACTTTCTGCAGAGACTGAGGAATCTAGAGGTGTGTATTCGATGTTCCCGTGTAATCAAAATCAACTTGCAGTCTCAGGTAGCACTTTCTGGCATCGCTTTACTAGATATCATTGTTTAAGAAAGAGAAAAAAGCACTGTGTTAAAGAGAGGTTTTCTTGTATGAGCAGGTGTATTCATCATTCCAGGCTGGAAAGACTTGCTCAAAGGTCTCAAGTTTACCAGCTTTGCATGCACTCAGAATGAAAAGCCTGAATGTAGGGCAAACACAAATAACCATTTTTCTTTTCTCCTGGAAGCTTTTAGCACCAGTTTCCTTTGTTACTTCTTTGTGCATTGTGTTCTCTCAAGCTGAAAATACTCCTCCATAACTCATCAGTGGCATTTATGGACAAGGTAGCCGTCAATTATCAAAATATCATTAACCTTCTTCCCAATCTTCTCTTCTTTCACTTCTTTGTACTGTTAATAGGATGAGGAGAATTGGGGATATTTACAGGACATTTATTTATATTACTTACTCATCTCAAATTCTTTTCATTTGAATATGGTCTCCAGAATGCAAAGGCTGAACGAATCTGCATTGCTGAAATCAGCATTCCTTATACAATGTCCTGCAGCAAATAAATTAATATGATCATTACCACACCTACTGTGGCCTTTAGCTTACCTGGTACTACTCTATATTTTCTTCTTTAATCAAAGAAACAAAAAGTTTTCACATGCAGAAGCTATTTTCAGCAGTTCTACTTTTGGACCTGCAAATAAAACATTGTGGCACAGACACATTCAGTAGCATCTCAAATGATGACAGGTCAAAGCACAAGAGCTTAGTGACAAACAATTGCATATGATCAATTTTATCAGTATTAAACAGTTACCTGGCATCATTTCCTTAGCTGGCAAGCAGAGCACACATCTTCAGAGTCCCATTGCTCTACTTTAATCCATTTCATAGTATTGACTTTTCAGAAGGAGAAAAATGCCATCACTTTGGCACAAGTCACAGCAAGTTTGTAACTGAAAATTATGAGACTCATTTTCTTGGCTACTACAAGTTACATGATACAAACACTGTCACAAAAGACATTAGACCTGAAACTCAAACATATCTGTTTGCTTTTTGGCCAGTTTAGCAACTTCCTCTCTTATTGCCTTTACTAGAGCGGCTGTAGAAATGTTGGTGAGAGGAGCATCAGAAGGATCATTTTCCGTTAAGCTCTGCTGGGAAGCTGCAGTAGACGGCAAAGGAGCTTGTTCCAGGCTAGGGTGCATGCTTGCTGACTGGCTGTACTGGCGAGGCAGGCGTGAAGGTGAATTATGTTGGTAGCGGGGCCTTGGATAAGCCTCTATGTATCCAGGAAGTGGAACCTGTAGAGCATTGTAATTATACAAAACAATTGATGCTTCATGCCACCTGCCAGATGATATAAACCTCTGTGCAGGAGAATAAGATGCAACAGATAGAGCCACAGGAAGAGAAAGTAAACTTGGTATTCCCGACTGTGAGTTTGCAAATGTGTATTTCTGCATGTGCCATTTATATACGCACATCAATGAGCCAAGCACTCATCTACCTAAATTGCATTAGCAAAAATAGCTTGCCCAGAAAATATTGCCTGTCGTAACTTATCATCGTTGCAAAAACTCAAAGGGATGAGTCTTTTGTGAAAGTGTGTCCTTTGTTTACTATTCTTCATAAACATCTCTCCTTAATAGCCAGTGCCACTGCATTTCAGGACACTGAAAATCCTAGAACAAAAAAGAAGAGTTTGCTGATCTGCAGAGCCACTGTCCAATCCAAGTTAGTCACGTCTCTGAACTTAACAGTCCTAACAGAAACTGTCTAGATCTAGACAATGGGGATAATAAACTCGAAAGCTTAACACAGAAAAAGATGTTTGACTTCTTAGAAGTATCAAGGTTTCGGGCCAGATCTATCAGAATTACCCAGGAGGGGTTCTGATTTGTTTTAACTTCATTGATTTCAGCCACGTTACATTGGCTAAAGCTAAAACAATAATGTAGGCCATTAGTCACTGCGAGATATTAAATCCACAAACTATGATGCCAGTCTTTACGTTCCTACTAAAACTGAAATTTTTGTAAGTTTTTTAACGCCCCGAATAAAAACAATTTTATGTTTCGCAGAAGTCTAGAAACTGGGTAGCCACAGGCCTTCATTTTGAACCATGCTTTATGTTGTTATAGCAGGCAACATATAACATTACTAGGACAAGATAATTTCTCCTTGCAAAAGGGCTTCCTAATATCAATTCCTTATACTAATCCATTCTAATTAAAAATAAGGAAGGTTCAATGTCATTTTTTTTTTTTTTTATGAATTGGCTGACTTAGAATACTACACTTACCATGAGTTAACAGATAAGCTACCACAATGTTTAAGCACTAAATCATTAACTTTGTAATTCTCTTTTTACTTTAAAACATATTTTTAACTTTCCCAATACAATTAGCTCTTCTTTAAGGTGGCCAGACTTACGTTTCACCTAAGTTTTAGACTTCAGCCTGAGATTTAATGTGCTTGACCCACTAAGGCTGAGGCTTTGTTGAGTTATGCCAGCAGCATAATTTCAGAATTTGAGGTGTCTTCAGAGTTAAATGTCAAGATGCGAGACATCTGCAAGTTTAAGTACCTTCAGGAGAATATGGGACCTCAGCACGGATTTCAGAATGTAAGTTTGGAATGAGGTACCTACATTTTGCTTAAATCCTATTTTGGCTCTGGCCCTATGAAAGCTTAACAACCCCTTGGGTGCTTCTGAAAATCTTGCCACTTCAGGCATCTAAGAACCTATGAAAATCTGACCATTAGGATTTGTGCATGATCTGTATGATATTGGATATCTATCCAGTGATGCACAGAATGCTAAATACATTCAGTACGGTATGATGATGCATACGTAGGCTAGAGCCATGATATGACAGTGGTAATTAAATGGAGTCACCCCTGTTTAGTTTATAATTGATTATTCCAAATAAATATTTTAGTAGTACCAACACGCGAACAAACCATTAGAGGCCACTAAGTTATTACTTTTACTGAGCAGCATCTAGTGGTTTCACAAAAAAAAAAGCTTTGGCTGACACGTTTCCCTTCTTCCACAAAACATAGTGCCTCAACGCTTACCTTTTAACTGAAAAAAATCATACATTACAGTAAATTAAGCTTACAAGATAACTCCTTGTTGCCAGATCTCCTGTTTCATGTGTTTACTTGGTGTTTTACTTACAGTCCAGTTAGTGGAAACATACAAAAAGTAAAGAATCTCAGTTTTCAACTTCTAAAAATTAGGTCTCTGTTTTTATTAATTGCCGAGAAAATCTTGGACGCATGATCCAGCTAAAAGGCTCAGAAACCAGAAAGCAAGCAAAACTCAAGCTTGTTAAATCATAGCAGGGCTGAGAGCCTGAGTAGCAGGAAGCTGTGATTTAAAGCTCAGTGAAGGATATATGAAGCTAAAAGGAATCTTTTGTTTTCTTTGACTTCTGCATTGTCACAGTTATCTTTCAGAAACCCTCTTTTCCTCTCCATTCCTGCACGTGCAAAACAGCAAGGACTGAGCTACTGGCACTAACTGCTCTTCCCACCTCTCTTCCTGGAGATTGCCACACCAGGGTTACATTCTCCCCCTTCTGAAGGAAGAAACTGGAGGTTAGAGGCCTGCCTTCCAGCTTTGTCCATTGTTAGCCTCCACTTTTGATAAGTGGTATCTGGCTCTTGTTTCATGGGACTGCAGCCAAGAAGCATGGATACAAAAGGGAAAAGGAATAGAAGGCAAACAAAATATTTTCCCTGTTATTTTTAAATGTCTCTTTCTTAATAAAAAAAAAAGCTTAAACTGATACAATGGGCCTCCTGAATTTAAAATGTCTGTAGAGTTAAAAATAAAATGAAAACAAGAAATACGTTTATCGTGTGTTAAAGGGCAGTCCTGTTCTGGGAAGGAAATCTATAAAACAACATCCCAAACCTTCAGATGTCAGGGGCTTTATCAGCAAACATGCTCAATTTACATATGATTTTTTTTTTTTTAAATTGATTGTTCACCCTGCAAATTCAGACTTGCATCTGAGAGTCAGACTGAACTCTACCTCTCAGATATGAGGACCACTAATAAAGATTGGGAAACAAAAAACTGTCCCCAGGAACGTCTACATAGCCTTATTATCTCTCATTGAGCTACTCAAAGCCAATTATAAGATTTGAACTGCAATTCACTACAGTGTTTTGTTGATAATACACACGAAGAAATGGTATCCACCTCCCAGTTTGTTTAGCTGAATTGGTTCTGCATAAATACCAAATGTGAGCTCAAGCAGCATAATTGATTTTTTTCCTCAACACCATTAAAGGTAAGTGGGAAAATAAGTCTCAAATTTTAGAAATTGTTTCAAACACATTAAGCTACTTCAATTTACCTTAGGATCTGTGAAATACAGGTATATTCCAGGCTAAAAATTAGAACTGTCCTTGACTAGGATTGTGCAATTAATTACTTAATTTATGATCTGTCATCAGCTTGCAGGAAGACTGGACACATGGTGCAGGAGGGCTGCAGCAGAGCCGGGAGCCGTGCCATCCTGAGAGGAGCCTCCGGAGGGAAAGATGCTCCCCAGCTCTCAGCTCCTATTAAATTCCAAACATCACAGGGCCACTCTGTGAGGCAGCAAAGCACTCCTGCAAAGCATCTATCTAAATATTTACCCTCTGATTTGGGAAAGAAAAACGGTTGAATGGGGTTGCCAACCCCTGCCCTAGTGAACGGTTTAGCTCTGTAACGAGCTTGCTTACAGCTCATGGGACGGACAGCCAGAGTAGCTGTACCCTCTCCCGTAGCTTTTCACTATTAGAGAGGGTTCCTATTCCTAGGAAGGATTATCCTGCTCAGATTTTTTGCTGATCACTTAGCATCGCTTAAGATCCCCTTTGTCCAAGTCACACAAAATAAACATAGTTAGAAAAGCAAAAACACTTACCGAGTCTGCCCACTGCCCTGGTAATTCATTCTCTCCGGCATAGGGCATCCAGGCTTGGTTCCTGTATGCTGTGGGTGGTGTCGGGATAAAATAGCCTGTGAAGCCAGGTCGGTTTGCTGCTGGGATGGCAAACACTGCTGGTACTGTATTTCCTATCAAGAAATAGAATAGATATTAACAGCAAATATTTCTAGTTGTAAATTAGAAGATCATTATATAGTGAACATGAAGAAACTGGCCTGAGTGGGTGGTTGGTTTTTTTTTTTGTTTGTTTGTTTTTTGTCAGAACATGTTCACCATCAATTGCATGTAAGCCTCCTACCATCTACCTAAAACATCTATAAAGATAGGAAATACTGGAGAAAGGCAAAATCTGCAGTTGTTTATATAATCATGCACAAGCCTTGGATAAAGGTATGAGGACTTAGCTCTTAGTACTCAATCCTTTTGATAACTGGTCTCCAGCAAAGATTTGAATCATTAGAAAAAAAAAGTTTTTTTCTCTTATATTTGCTTCCTTATATTCAATTTTAGTTGTTGTTACGATGAGTTTCAGAGCACTGCACCTTTCTCTTCAACAGCAGGTTACAGAGGATTCAGTTTACACAAGAAAAACTAACTTAGTATCTCTAGGCACAAAACCTATAAAAATGAAGAGTGAATGAAGCATCTAAAATGCTGTAATCTCAACAACCCCATCATAAACCTTCAACACTTCCATAAAAAACATCAAGGCTCTTCCTGCTCAATTCCTTTCTCAGGAACGGTCTATGACTTCAATAAATTACATAGCTATGACTTAAATAAAAATTTACAAGGAAAGTTGACAACAAATCTTTTTACCATGGCTTGATCAATATGTATGCTACAGGGAAGTCCAGGAAGTCTTCTATTAAAATCCCATTATCATACCCAAAGAAGAGTGGAAGAAACCAACCTTCATAAATAGGAGATTCAGCCAAACCCCTGGATATGTTTACATCTGCTGTTTCAGATAGGGTTTCTTCTTGGGGCTCACCGAGCTGCACAGAACAATGTAGTTCTTTCGGCAGTTATTCAGATTATCCACATAACACATCTATAACTAGCCTACTGGGAAGGCCACCATCTTCTCCCACGCTGCCACTATTTCTCTTGAGAGAAACCATCATAACTCCATATACTTGCCAAGTTTAGAGTAAAATACAAACAACTTTTTGGTGTCTGTTTACATAGGGAGACAAACAGCAGCATCCATACCACTGCCACACACTGAGGTCAGAAAAATCTCCTCGTGAAATCCTGGGCAGGAAACATCTATATTATCTGTATCATGTAGTAAACAAAGCATATGGATGGTATGTTCCAGATACTCAGTTCTAATACATGGACATATATTTTACTTTTCAAATTCACTGAATATAGCAAAAATATCATTGTTTATGTGAAAGCAGAAGAGCCAGTAAACACCAGCAATTTAAAGACTGATGATGCTGTTTCAGAGCTAATCCCATAAGAACACCATGAAGTACAACTTGGGCATTTTCAAGAAGGAATGGAAAAACAGTAATGTTACCAAGATGGGCACTGACTCTAAACTGGAGTAAACGGAGATAAAATAGACTATTACTCTCTTCCAACAGCACATCATTTCAATATTACCACTAGTTGCCCTCAGTAAACATGACAGCGCTGCCGAAGAGGTGCTGACCAAATTGCAAAATGCAGGCGTTCTCCTGAACTTCATGTAAAAGAATTATTGGTAGAAATTAGCAGCACCTTTTTGGTGCTTCAAATAGCTGCCCCCTAGAGTGTCATTTACAGCACTAGTACATCCTCACTCCTTCTAAACACTCTACAAGTTGGTTATGCTGGCTGGTCTGATACATCCTGGGAATACCACATAGGCACATGCACAGAGACAGCAAGACTCAAGCAGTAATACCTATTCTGTAGGTGTCTCCAGACAAAGAGAGAGTTATAGGTTCTCCATGACCTCTCATGCAATCCTAGGCCAGAAGGGCTATGGGTGCTATCAGGCCTCGTAAAGAGAAGAAAAATACGCTTTGTAGCACAATTCTCTCCAGGGCAGTTATCTGTTTTAACATTGTCTCGAAAAAGATTCAGCAAAAATTGGAAAAAAAGTGAAGGATATGTCATTGAAAAATATGAACTAAAATCATTTACAGCATGCTATACATTTGCACAGTGTTTTCTGCTGTTAGAAATCAAGTCTTAGTTTCACTGTGACATCAGGTCACAGGTGAAAATGCACTACCTCAGGGCCCGTGCTGGAGTTATTCTGTCTCAGAAATGTAGCCACCTTGGAACTGCTCTGGATACATGGATGCGCACCATTGCAGGTAGCCACAGGGTATCTCACAAGACCCCTATGCCAGTTCCTCCACTCCGTTGTTTTGGAAGGAGGTGGGCTAAGTGAAGAGCGGTGAGCAAGTTTTGTTCTTCTCAGGTCATAGACAGCACAAGGGTTGCTATTTTAAGTGAGTTAGCAAGGCTGGAAATATGTATTCCTTAGACAAGTACAGAGAAGAAAAGGCTGCTCCTGTAGATGACACGTGGTTTCTACACCAAAATGCTCACGTAATGTAATCCCAGGAAATTGAACTACTAGTCAAAATGAACAATTAGCTGATGTAATACCTTATTCCAATTCTTATTGCAACATCATGATCTTAAAGGTGATGGGCTGCATGAGGGCAATATTATAGGCCACTGCATGCCAAATCAGCACTTTGCAGCAACCTTTCTTCATCTATTGAGGCAATGAAAATTTATTTTCCAGTCAGAACATTAGAATTCTGTGTTTGTATCACAGTTGTTGCAGAGTTTTCACAATTCTCCTTGTCTTCCCTATATTATAGCTGTTTTTAGTATCCATCTATATGAATGATTCCTCCAACTACTCCCAGAATAATTCTTGCAAACTCAACAATGAACACAGAGACTATTTTGTCTCTTCTAAAACACAGCTACTCTTCACTGGGAGCAAAACATACCTATTTTCATCGACACACAGGAACAAAATCTTCACATCACCGGAAAGGATCAAAATGTGTATCATAGGATACAAGGTGCAGATCACGTAAGTACAGACACGAGGAAGAGGCCCTTTGCAGTATGGAATATTTTATAGTTTGAAATGCTTTAAAATGAAAGGGTGAGCATCTGCTCTTTTTAGATTCATATGCACCTTTTGCAGAAGGTATAGGTACAAGGCATAAGTGAGAGCAGAATCAATCCCACAAAGCCAGTATATTTAATTAACTGACAACAGATTAGCATATCCACCTTATTATTTTCAGAATATGTTGAAAAAATGCAGATAACTCTAATACTTCTGAGGAAACTAAGAAAGAAATTATTCTGACAGATTCACAGAGCACTATCTAATAAACCTGTCTCTTACTGTTGACTGCCATCAAATACTGTAACTTCTCCCGTCCTTGCCAACCAAAGCCCTCTGCACCAGCTACACAATCTACCCTAAAAATTCCACTGGATTTTGTGGTACATATGAACTGTTTCACTGGGCTTTAATAATTCAGAGCCCCAATTAGTGAGCCAGCAGAATGACATACTGGAACAAAGACCATCCGGTGCAGTACTGCTGGTGGACCTTACTTTTAGAGGTTGCCATTTTCTGGTGCTTCTGTAGGAGGAGTAATGCAGCTAATGCTGCACTTAAGAAGGGAGCAATTATTTGTATATCCCCTTCAGCTGCCCCGGAATCAAACACATCATCTCCAAATAATCATCTGTAATTGCTCTACCCTATACATTTATTCATATGCAATACAAATTGTGAGCTTCTCAAAGCTGCAAGTTGGCCATGTACTGTTTTTTCACCTGAGTGAAAAGCTGACTGATCAAGTGGACCAACAGACACTGGAGCTCTTGAACCAGGGGCAAAAGATGCCTGATCATGATGCTGGGCCTGATCCACCCCACTAGACTCAGGTATTCTCACTTTGCTGCCAATATCCGATGTAGACCTGTAGAAAGAAAAAAAAAAAAAGAAAGAAAGAAACTTTCATCATTCTGACTGATAGATGAGATTTGTAGACAGATATATGGCTATCTGCTACAGTATTACAAGCCTGCTAGGAAGGAACTAGCTGCTTCTGCTTTGGTAGGACAAAATTGTACGTTAACTGCACTTGGAAAATACTTTAATACTTTAAAATTCTTTAAAGCAGTGTGTCCCAGTTGCTTCAGAGCTAAAGTGTGATGGATAAACAAGAGTACATCAACAGTGTCCATATCCTGAATATTTGGATAGAGTTATGATATCATTAGCAGCCACTCAGAGAAGTTTCATTTCGTTTCAGTAACTCTCAGCAGGCCTGTAGCGTCTTAGAATTACAACTGGAACCAGGCAGTACAAAATTGCACAATACTGAAGGCTAAATGAGTTCATCCACCAGAGAAGGGTGAAAATTGCTTGAAATGCATTTTATAGATTGCCTTACTGTGAGGACAAACAGAATGTATACACTGAGGTAAGGCAATCAGCCTTTCACACGTATTTGGCTTTTGGAAACACAAGCATGAAATATGTGAAAGCTAGGCAGAAATCCCTGGACCCACAGTTCTGAAAAACATCTTATAACTCATCTATATCACGTTGTGAGTCCTTCAAATACAGAAAAACAGGGAGATCAACAGTGTGAATTATCTACCACACCGTTGCAATATACATGCCATCAATGCACTGTCAGAGTTGAGGCAAAGCATGATTTAAAATCAGAGCCTGGATTTCCTAATTTTATCAAAACTGACAAGCTAATAGGAGAAACAATTTGTTTTTCTTTCCTCTTCATGTTAAAATGAAACAAAAATATTGTGTTTCTAATTTCATTAATGTCTCCTTATTATGAAGGAGATGGCTACTAAGCACCACTTCAGATCTTGCCACAGGTATGGGGATTCTTTTTAGAACAGTAGCTTTTACACTTCATACCTAAAATAAAACAACAGATAAATACCTCCTGAGAGAGGCAACAGCCACAGGACCTGTTCTGGGAGGGACAGGGGGTGGAGGAGAACCCATTACCATCTCAGGAAGCTGAGAAAATCTGTAAGCCTGTAAAAGAGAAAAAGGAGTATTTTCTAAAACACCAACAGATGTCATTCAAATTAAAAACCAAGAGAACCTCAGAAATGCAATATCTGTTTTGTGCACTGGCCAAGAGGAAGTTAACTGTTGGTGGTAATAACATTTTATTTGAGAATTAACAACACTCTGGTGACTTCAGAAGGTGGACAATAGCATGAATAAATGAGTTCACAGAGCCAAGACAAAGTCCAATTACAGCAAAATATATCAAACACTGTCTTTGTGACATTAGCAACCTAGCTGGCAAAGAGGATCTTTTATGCCTATGTGAGACTTAACAGCTGCCTTGGACCCACAGGAAAAAGATCTCAGCATTTTCACTTCCTCCAAAAGCAAAATGCTTTAAAGATTCAGTACATCTGAAAGCATCCTCAGAGTAGCATCTAGTGAAATGAAACTGCCTATGAGCAATTTATATTTCAACTTCTTTCTTTCAGCCTTTAAAACATGAAAGGAAAATTCTTGACAAAATCACCAAGCTCTGTAACTTTTCAAAGCAAGAATGAAGGTCTCAAATAATTCTGAAAAAGCAGAGTTATTCAGAGGAACACAGGATCAGACTGCTAAGTCCAAAGCTGAGTATCTTGCCTGTAGCAGTTCTGGATTTTATCGCTAATATGCGTAAAAAAACCAAGTAATTGTGTGTGTGAAACCTGTGGCATGCCAGAAATGACCTGTAGCACAAAATTTATCTTCTAAATTCTTTGTACGGCTATAGATTACAGATCATAATTCTGGTAAAACTGCTTAAGGACAGAGGCATATCTATCTCTCTAACAGTTCACTGACACACTTCCTCAACACCGTATGCTTTGACTCCACACATAAAAGCTTAAATATTTACAATGGTTCCGAGTAACATGCAGGATTAAAGGTAAGCTTAGAATGATAGCAAATAACAAAGTTTTGGGAGGCTGCCCAGTATCAAGAGACATAGATATTTTGATAAAACCTAGAGTCTTAGGTATCTGGTTTAACCAGAGAAGCTCCCTCTACGGTTCATGGAGAAAGCTAAACCCACACTAGCATGGGATCAGTCACTCTCTGAAAGTGCCTTCCCATCTCCTGCCTGTGGAAAGAGCCGACAGGGTTTATGCAATTAGCTCAGCCTTAACACCTACATTTCGGTTCAAATTTGGCAAGTTAAATCACACTCTAAATACTTAAAACCACTATCTTAGAGCAATCATCTTTAAAAGTTCCACCTTTAGACTCGGTTCTGTTATTTGCTTTCTCTAATAGCTGCAAAACTGGGTTAACGCACAGCAAAAGTAACTTCAAATGTTGACTTTTGATGTCAGTGTCTCCAAGGCAAAAAGCATTACAGACCATGCATCTTTCTCCTGTGCCCCTCACTCCCTTTCAAAGGCATGCCAAGATCCTCAAAGGCATGTTTGTGAAAACCATTTTTCCTTTCATGCCCTCTACAAAGTCTCCTAATATTTACTTTCACCACGCTACAATGGTATTTAAAGTATTTTCTAGATGGAAAAAAAAATGCTGTGATACATTTCCCAGTCAGGGGTGGAAAATACTGATTTTTAATGAAAGAACTGCATAGAAAAAACAAATGCTATTTACATCAAAGAAAACCTCAGTTTGATTTCTCCTAATAGCACTGGACTTTAAATGGTCCACAATGCCACTTCTGCACCTGAAAAGCTGGCAATGTGCTCACAAAGCTAATCGAACCCTACCTTCTGGCTCCACAGTCCTTTAATGCAGCCACATCCCACACGCCTTGCTCTTGGCATGCGCTTGTACAAAGTAGGAAATTCTTTCCTTTCCTCTTTTAGAAACATAGCACACGGGCTAACATTTTGCAGTGATTGGTGACTCCAGATCTATTTCAGTATAGCAGGGTACACAGATTTGGAGGCAGACTTTGCTTTTCTCTTGTGTGTTAACATATGTGCTTTGAAATACAGATATCAAAGGAGGCATTTTAAGGAGTCACAAAGAGTGGTCCACAAACTTAAAGCAACTTTCACTGCAACATTACTCCTGCTCCAGCATCAGCAACCAATGAACAGTTATTCAACAGTCTCCATGTGCCTGGGACCTAACCCTGATGCTTAAGAGTGGATTTGGGAGGGGACAGAGGATTTGTACAAAGAAACACAGATAAATGATCTGGCATTATAGCTCATTACTCTGACTTTTCCAGGCTAGTATCATTTTTAAAATATCTAATTCAAATTTGATTCTATAAGGCTATATATGGCCCGAAATAAACTTCTCATACATCTTGTCCTAAGACTTTGAAGGAAGACTTAGTACAACACCGAATAATAACCACAGTTTAGCACAGAAACCGCAACCTTTGGGTCTAGGAGACTTATGACACCACCTTTGATCAGTTTCTTGTACAACCAGAAAAAGTATGAGATATCATCTGTCAGGATGCAAGAAAAAAAATTTAATTAGTACACAATAACTGAAGCCTAAAGGAAAAGTTTTGCAGTTGGCCTTAAGGCTACCTTTCACTGGTCTCAATATCAAATATTTTACCATCTCCAAGTCACAGACATATTTTTCTTGGGTGAAATTATTCAGTGTGCTTTATAATTAAAGAAACGCCCATCTTTACTTTTTAATGTAGCAATTATAAGGGCACTGCCTTTGTTTACTTACTGAATGATCTAATTTGATTATTAAATTCCAATCCAGGAATAATGCTAGCTTACTCATTTCAGCTAGGTTCGGTTTTGTTTTGTTAGCTGCCCACGGGCACTGCCTTTGTTTACCTACTGAATGATCTATCTAATTTGATTATTAAATTCCAATCCAGGAATAATGCTAGCTTACTCATTTCAGCTGGGTTTGGTTTTGTTTTGTTAGCTGCCCATGGTTTTAGATTTCGTATAGTAATTGTTACTAAGAGCAGCTGAACTTTGGTAATATTCTCACTTTCATTAAATGAACAGAAGCTTTGAAGGCTTAGATTCATTATCACTCACTCAACCTGTAAGTCTGCCCAGTCGATGCCTATTATATCATGTCAGTTCTCACCTAAGAATCAAGAATTCTGTTATTCTCACTCTCTTTCCAAAGCACTAAGGAGGAGAGATGGGAACCAGGCCAGCCTTACAAAAAAGAGGCTTTTTTTTCCTGGACTATTGTTCTCAGCTTGATTCAAGTCAGCTGTGAGAATTTCCCATAGCTATGTGATCTGCCTAGGTACAACTCATGCAGTCTGGCTTGTGCCATAAAATCTATTTTATAACCCCATCCTCCAATATGTAGTAAACCAGCTGGATGACAAGGACCCAGCCAAGTACTGCTCATCCTGTTTTCTGAAGTTCCAGAACAAAACTAAGAGTTTGCATTTTACTAGCTTTTCTCTGCCAGGACAATGAATGATAGCCTCAGATGAGGGCATCTTGCTATTACAGGTTACCTACAAGCAGTCTGACAGACATGCATTCCCTCACCAGACCTACAGAGAATTTAGTTATTTACGCTAGGATATAAAACACAGAAGGATTCAAAAGGAAAAACAAAAAGGAAAAAGAAGATAGATATATGTTCTAGAGAGATACACAACTGCGTGATTGTGGGACTAGCCAAGAAGCCGAATGCAAAAGCCACAGATCCATAACTTGGAAGAGACCTGAAGAAATGCAGCCCTGAAGAGCAGTTGTGGTCCTCTGAAAACATATGGCTCAAATACTTAGAAATGGAGGGGAACACTGAGATGGAGATTTGCATGCAGATTTTCACTGTTTTGCTTCAATCTGTCTATCATTTGTGCTGTCTAAAGATTGAGAGGGTCTGTGTTAGAAATCCTACACAGGATTTGTATCAACTATGATGTGTTTTTGCAATGGTAACATCTCAGTGTTGGCCCTGACAAGGGTGTGCTCAAGCTACTGGTAAGTTTTTGGGATCCTGTAAAAAATTTTAGAGTCTAAGTGGATTGCAAAGGTCCAGATCTCAGAAGAAAGTGATGGAGTAAAGATTTTTGGCTTGTATTGTATCTAGAAATAAAAAGGTAAAGCCGGTGTCTGCATTTGCTCCATCTAAGCAGACAAAAAGCTCTTGAATCTGGATTTCAAATTACACAAGCATTGCTGATTTTGCCTTTTAATCACCACTAATAATTGAATTTTAAGAAAGGGCAAAAATAAATAATTCTTGGCTTGCAGAGGTAGCACCCTCCCCCATATAACAAACATCCTGGTGCTCCTGTAACCTCCCATCCCCAAGCCTGCCTAAGGCTACTCACTTATCCCTCAACTCACTGAGCTTGGGCACACACAGACACGAACCCCCTGCTTTTCCAAGCTTCGCTATGCTTCAGCCAACCCACCAGCGTCACACCGTCTGCCCTGCATGTAGCCCGGCCCAATCCAGACCCTAGTGCTCCCCTTCCCTGCATCTCCACCAGATTTCCTGAATGAAAGGTGGGACCTGAAAGGATCCTGGGAAAGGAAACAGGTGATAAGATGCTGACAGCAGTAATTCTTGCATATGCTTCCTACCCACACGTCACTTTCTGTACACATTGCACCTGGTTATTTTTTCAATTCCAATCCTACCTTCCCATTTGAGAATAAATCAGTAATCAGCTTAATTTTAAATTCAGTTCATATTTGTGAAATTAATTAGCTGAAAGCTAGGAAATAACAGCCCTAAACCAATCTCCAGTAGCCTGTGACAATCCTAGGCTGTACTGGTCAATTAAAATATCAATTATTACTATTTAAAACTATCTTCAAAACCCCAGAAAGGTAACCAAACACTTAACGTTCCTAAAACACACAGCTGATTAAGTACTGAGTCTTAGAAATAAAAGAGTAAAGCATTTACCATGGCATTGAAAGGAGGCACACAGTTAAACTCTACATTCAATTTAGAAAAATAAGAACGAAATTTTAGTGTTGCTTGAATAGTCTACAATTCCAACACTTTTTTCTAGATAGAGCAGATTGGTGAAAAAATCTGTTATCAAATCTTAACCAAATTCATGTAAGAACCTTCTAAAAAATACCACTTACCATGCATGATGTGGAAAACAGTACAACTACCATATTTTTTAAAATCTGTAGCTGTATGATATTTTTCATTTCATTATAGAAAGACTTCTTCAACTGTCAAAGCAATTTGACTAGCTATTAGCTGTCCCATAATCTTCTAATTGACTTCTAACCACAAAATATGATTATAAGCTGTATGAAGTTTAGCAGATTGACTACTAAATGCAAGAAATAACCTCTAGCATTATTTAAATAGCACCAATCTGAACTTTTGCACACATGCCATTGGCTTTCAAATATGTTCAGACTAGTTTGGAAGCAGCACCCCTTACTTCATTTTCTTATTGTCATAGAAAAGAGTAATAGCAATAGTTATTTTGGACCAAGAATATTATTCTGCATTACTCTCTTACTCTAGCTAGAGTTGGCAACTCAATTTGAAATGCATTCTTTCAAAAAAATAATCATTTCTGACAAAAACAAGCCTTCAAGTGAACAACTTCAAATTTCACAAGACCTGTTTTTCACAATAGTAGTGCCAGGTCAGCTATTTCTCACCTGGCAGAAATCACCCCAGTTTAGATTTGCACCTGATATAGATGAATAAAACTACTCTGGTGAGTTTTGGAATACAGTAACTGGGAATTCAGGGGAAGTTTAACCTGTTACGGGCATGCGTAGTACTACTGCTATTACTATCTAGATACTTGGGAAATTCCATCAACAAATTCCATCCACGGACTTCAGCTTTTTTAGTATGTTTCTTACTTTTGTGAAATAAGGAAATGATAGACATAATCTGAGGCTAGACAACGAGACATAAAGAGTGACTTACACAAGGTCAACCAAGAAACTTCTGAAATTAAACCATCTTTTGAGTCCCAAGCCAATGGCGATAGCTGCAAGTTTGTCAATATTAGATCACATTTCAGGTCATTCTGATTATTACAGTTGGTCCCCTCTTTTGCTATGATTATCTTCAGTGACAGACTTCATGCATAAATGTTGAATGATTCATAGCCAGCTGTGTATATATCTGTTTTACAAAAACAGATTGTTTCCTAGCACGCATTCCAGGAGCAGGAGGAGATAATTAAACAAGTTCTTGATCTGTTGATCAGGCTGGAGGTTTGTGCAACCCCTTCTTTCAAGGGAAGCTTAGACAAGACAACCTTGCCGCTAAAATAGGAGTCTTCAGGCAAGAGATGGGTACATGCAAGCATACACACAAACACACAACTGCATTTATTTATTGTAAGCACGGCTTTACATCTGCTCTTAAGCATGCAAATAGGCCTCCATCTTTAAAAGATGACTCTCACAGTAGAAATATCTTTTTGATAATATAGAATGTAAAAGAGAATTTTCACTTACTGGTCTTGGTAAACTGTATTGATACATTTCCGGCCTGTATGTTGGTACCCACTGTACACCACCTCTAGGTCGGGTCATGGTACCAGGAGCACTAGTCACAACCTCAGAGTACGGTAAGTGTGGTGCTGAACTGTAAGCATCTTGTCTGTTCTGTCCTCCGTGGCCAGCAGAGGCCAGACTGAAAGCTTCTTCCAAGAGCATATGCATTTGTTGTCGAACTTCATCTATTGAAGGCTGAGAACTTAAGGTAGAAGTCTCTGAGTGGCCTTTAGCCTGCCGGGACCTGGCATAACCCCGAGGCTCATTGACACGGTCAACATTTGTTTCTTCTATAATTTCAGGCTCAGTCTGTTGAATAGAATAAAAGCACACACACATACAGAAGCTTTACAAGACAGTATTTATGCTGCTTCACAGAAAATATATTGTCAGACACAGATAAACCAGATACAAAATCAAAAGTTGTTACAGTATTGATGCTTGATGAATATATGAAAGGAATTATATGATGCAGGTGATTATAATAGCCAGGGACTCAATGACTCTTTTATATCCTTAATTGTTCGCTGCAAAAACCAGCAGGCAGACTCTATAGCAGATGAAATTGTTACAGATCCACTTAAAAACTATTAGCAATAACATTTAAAGTCTTTTCTTGCTTGTTAGGATTAATGGGAGTGCAACTGTACCAGGAAGACTATAGCTCCCTAAACACTACCATCACCCTGAAGGACCGCTTGTTACAAATAGATGAACTGAAATTCTTTTTTTCATTCTCACTAATTATGACTTCATAAGAATTAAAGTTTATGAGTTTATCTGAATATAACTGCTTTTATTTGAATATTGTGGAACTCAGTCAGGAATAATAACAACGATGTTACAAACTAGATCCCAGCCCTTGCAGAAAACCCAGCTTAGTTATGTTAGCTGGTTGAACATTAGTCACACAGACATTTATTCGGAACTCACGTAGGAACAGTGAAAGAAGCATATACTTCTAATGAGCAGATACTAGTAGTATGTCTTAACTTGAAGGTTAATACTTCCAGGGTAATTCCTTGCATACAGATAAGTAAAAACAGAAATCACAAGCTAGCCTGAAGCTTGAAACTGTAATCTTGAGGAAGGATTTTCTCTCCTGATTGTGCACAGTGCAACAAGGTTTCTGGAACAGAATGACACTAATAAATTCACTAACAATGATTCACTTGTGTAGTATCCTGATATACTGTGTGTCCTGATAATTAGGTAGGCCAAGTTTTGAAGAATGCATTGCTGTAACTCATTCAAACTGTGATGGTCAACTAGCAAACACAACGGACAATCAAGTTGGAAAAAAAAAAACGCTAGAAAATGATTAGAATTCCTGCCCTCTGCCACAAGTTTCTGCCACCTCATTTGGAGCATAACACCTCTGTGTAATTCAGGACCTGAAAACATTTTCAGGCAAGTTAGTACCTACTAAAAGTGGGTACTGAACATGAACAGTCCATCTTTACCAAATGATGCCAAAAATGACTCCTCTCAAGAATGGAGATGAATTTGAGCGCAGCTCCTCATCAGTTAAGACATGGACCACCTATATGAGCATCAGCTGCTCCCTATGACGTTGCCAGTAGTAACACTGCACTCTAATACCCACTTAAGGACCCCCATACTTGAGGAACAATTTTCATATTACTCTCTCATTTTGATTCAAAGTTTCTTTGATTCCAAGCTACACAACACATGGACAAGGGAACTGAGAAGCACCAGCGGGCAGTGGACTGAGACTGAATGAAAAGACATGTTATGTTGGACATAAGTATCAATATGACTGACAGAACTCCATCATTCATCCCCAAATCAGTTAGGATAATATAGACTTCAGGAACATAACTGTTTTATCCCAACTTGATATGCCATTCTATGGATTGATGAATATTGGAGAATGCCATGTGTGATGTACTCACAAACAGTACTGACATACTCCCTTCACGGTTGACTTGGAGGAGGAGGTTGCCTTTCCACTCCCCATGGATGATACCAACCTAAAGGATAGTAGTTGATATCCATAAAGCTGCTGCCAGCTTCCAGAGGTTAGCGATCACATCCTGAAATGCTATAATCACACATTTCACATCTGGACCAACTTAGATGTCATTGTGATTGTAGAAAAAAGTGGAAATCATGCTTTAAAAATGTAACAGAAATTCCAAAGTCTTACAGGTGGCAAGTCTCGGGACCAGCTCAGAAATCCGCTAGTGAAAAAGGACAAAGTACGTTACTTTGCAATGGACACCTGTACCTGGTTTTGCATTATCACTATGTCAAAAGGAAACATCAGACACATTTATTCCTGAGGACAGGTTAGTATATTTGAATTTCCATAATCCATTTTCCACCTTTTCAGCTGCTCAAAAAGCTGATCTGGGCTGAAGAATTACCTAGCACTAAAGATAAGACTTTATCTGCATGCCACAAATTCAACAATGTCATAAAGAATTTACACTATCAACAGTTGCCATCTGAGCCAGGATAGGAGTTGTGTCAGCTCAGAGGACCAATGGGGAAGAATATTCTATCTTATGTCCATATTCAAAGATATTTCACTAGGAGAAGATGTGCTGACCAGCACTTTATGTCCCAATCCTGTGTACCCCATGTCCAATATAAGGCATGGAAAATTCTCCTGCTTTTCTTCTCAAAGGAAGCAATTATGTATGGCCTCTGAAGACCTGAGCAGTACAAGAGCTTTTGACAAGATTTTCCTGCTATACACTAGACATGACTTACTCCTGTAACCCCATCAACAGGGAAATCCAGAGTATTTGTTTAGAAGGAGGAAAAAAGCAAGCAATAACTGTACCACTAATATGATAACACAAACTAATGCGCATAACAGGATACATAGAAAGCAGCCGAGCCCAGAGTCCAACAAAGCATATTTCAGCCCTTACTGGGCTCTGGAATATGGAATAAGCTGATGAAGGTACTGAGCCAAGCCATCCCGTGGCTCCCAACACTGATCCAATCCAAGGATATGAAACAGTAAGGGGAAGAGAGCCAGCGAGTCCTGCTAACACAGGTGTGAAAATGCCTCTCCTGAACACACCATGAGAGACATTAACTGGCAGATCTGTGTAGAGCAAAGAACGCTATTTCATAAAATAAGCATCTGTCAAATCTTTTTTTTTTTTTAATGTTACTGCAAAATGTTTAAAGAATCACCAACCACAAAAAAATTAATACTTAAAGCACTATTTCTAGAAGACTGTTAAGCTTACTTGTCATTACTTCGTGTCTGTAAAGTCACTTACCCCTCTAAAAAGTAGGTAAAAAGTTTGCTATTCTGGCCTAGTCTCCCCCTGCCCACCACATTTATCATTATCATTAGTTACATTTGACAAGATCTAAAGCTGTGGAAAACCAGGTGCTATGCTTTCAAAAGTAAGCAACTGATAGTTAATGACAGACATTTAATGTAACGATGGCCAGTAAATGTGCCCGCAACTTAAAATACTGTTTTCAACTCTTTCTGCACTTCAAAATTTGTCTGCAAAACCAAGAGAGAAAAATCTAACCATAATATTGTAAGAACCTGAAGGTAAAATACGTAACTTCTTTCATCTTCTTTAAGATTAGTTTTACAGAACATAGTTTTTCAAAATCCATTGTAAACAGGCAACCTTGAAAAAGCAACCAATTCCTTATAATTATTTAAAGATCAGCAAAATCAATTTAATCTCTTAGGATATCTGGAAGTAAAGGGTATGCATTTCCTTCTATATATAGTATCTATTTATCCATAGCATTTAAAATAGTCTCAGGTAAAAGAATACAGCAGGATATTCTTATCAAAAATTCCAGTACTGCCCTGATAATTTACTTGAGTGCTATGTAGCTCTTGGCATGGCATACTTTTTTTTAAGGTAATAGTGCAGTAACTTTCTGTATACCTAACTAGATCAACACAGTATAGAACAATCACAGTATGTATTTCTTTATCTACTGAGAAAAATATCTGATCAACTTTATTTTTCCATTTTCAACTATTCAGAGAAGAGTTACATGCTTAGCCTGAGAACTGACAATAAGCTTTAAATGAATCATAATTTGTTTTCTCTCCTAGCTGTTAAAATATAGCTACATTTTGTACTTAATGAAAAATATAGCAGTAAAAACAAAGACAATAATTAACCATTTGTATATTAGAATTTAACATGAAAGTGTTTAAAAAAAAGACCATACAAACAAACTGTTTAGTGTAAAAAACAGTTTATGTCAAATATTTGGGGATGTTTCTTAAAAATCTGCTACACAAGTTAAACTAATAGTAACCATGGATTCTGAGCTTTAGCCAATCTAGTATTTACTTATGTGTAACCGTAAGATCAGTTATTGCACTTGCTTAAGTATGCATTAGTGATTTCTGGGATATGCACGAAATAATTAGCACATCTGAGAGCTCTAGCAGTCCCTAAGTACCAATGACAAATTTTATGACAGAACACTGCTGTAGTAAAGTGCTTTGCAGCTTTGCAGTCAGTCATGAGGAAACAAGCCAAAGAAAAATGAACTGAGAAACTACGTGATTAGATTAATGTCAGTGAAACTGTGGTAACGCACATTGTCAGAGGATTTGGATTTGGATCTTTAGGTGCAGGTAAAGCCTGCTCAGGGTACTGGATAGGTGGTAATCTGTCAGTTTTTTCACTAACCTCAGTGATAACATCTGATCTGGTCCGTGGAACTACTAACAGAGACCATGCTTTTACAAATAAATATTATTCCGTTATAATATTAATAGTAATATCCCAACAGCTTTTACTAAGATATTTTATGCCTATCTGTTTCATCCATCCATATTGCCCTTTCATCATAAAATCATCTAGTTTTAGATGGTGATAAAATTTCATTTGAAGTAATACATCATTACATTTATTTTTTTAGATAGTAGGATATTCATGCGTGTGCAAATGATACTTGGGCCCCATATTTTCCCCCTCCATCTCCAGAGATTTAGAGACAGATTTCAAAAGAGTTCAGTTCACTGTTTACACTGAGAACCATAACCACCATTGAAAACTGATCATTTTTTAAAATCTCATTACATCAACTAGTTACTAAACTGAGGTCTGATCCCTTTTTCTGCCTATGTCTAGATATGAAGCTGCCTCTCACTAAGCCAGAAACAAGAAAGCGTTCAACATAGTCAAAAAGCAAGCCACATAAAGCTTTTAAAATTTGGAATCAGAGAAAATGGGAACAAATAATTGAAATGACAGGATCCAAGCTTCCTTTCCATTTTCTCATAACCATGCTCAAAAAGAGTGTTCACTGCATTTAAAAGCTGCAGAAAATCAAACAACTCCAAAAGCAAATAAAATCTGATTCTGTTTTAACTATTTAAAGCTACTAGCATTATAATAGAAATTGCTGCACATCCTATATAAATAAAAATCACATAAATTTTAGAATCACAACTATAAAATACAAAATGATTTGTACATGTAAGTGCAACTAAAAGGCCTCAGAAATCACACTATCCCAATTTGAAGATTAATAATTGCAGATCTTATTTCCTCATGGCTGTAAAAATGTCAGTGAATGAAAGCCCATAAGAGATCTATTAATATCTGATGAAGTAAATCAGGTTCTCTGTCACAACCCCGCAGTGAACCCATTACACTTCTATGTCTTTTGATCCTATCCTATAAAAGAAAAAAAAGTCTAAAATATATATAAATAAAGGATTTTTAAGAGCAGTCAAAATTAAGTCAGCTTTGATTTGTCAATATCAAAGCATGAAGATTTTGGAGGAGACTAGTGTCAGAGTTATACTTACTCAAGTTTTAGAAGGTGATATGATGAAATAAATTTTAATATATGCTCTTTGTTTTCATTCCAATTGAAACATGTAAGGATCATAAATACATGCCAATACACATGAATGTTACCATTATAAAAATTCAGATATTGTTCATACACAGTTACCATCCAATACGAGGAACTGGAATTACATAAGAAAAGAAAAGAAAGCCATGTACTGAGAGACAAAAAGGTTTAACATTTTTGGTTTGTCATATATTGGCAAAATTCTGCTGCTGCAACTATATCAGTAAAATTCTTTATGTGAACATTAGCAGTTCAGAAGTTTTTTGAGGAGCTACATCAATGTAACTGCATCAATAAAATGTTACCAGTAAGTTCTTCTGTACATTGATCTCTAGATAAATATAATGAGGCCATTTGCTTGCTTTTACATCAAAATGGCCTACATTTTCTCTGCCCTAGTGTAAAACTCATTAGCAGCTCACAGGTTCTAGACTCTTTCGTTATAACATCTGATCTACTCACAATTGCCTGTCAACTTGCTGTGAGTAATAAGTGTGTTAATACTCTCTCCTTAATCTACTTATTAGGTGAAGGTGACCATACTAAACCCTGGCAGGATTACTTGAAATTCAAAGACAGCTAATTCTCAGTAATAACCCATTTATAAAAAGACGTTATAGACTGTAAGTATTATACTCAGAAGATTAAATAGTATAATATACACTCAAAAAAACCCCCCAGAAATTTACATATTCTATGAGAACAGATATATAAATATAGATCCTCATATCCTGGGCAATTTTTAGCTCTTAGAACCACGATTCAGGGAAATATCAGGAAAACTATTAGAAGGGATGAAATATTTTGAGAAAACCATAACTGAAAAATTAGAGATTTGTTATTTAAGGGGAACTATGACAACGAAAAAAAACATTTTATCGTTTTCCCAGTTACCTGGCACAACATTATGTCACACAATCTGATGGGAAGTCTTCAAATGCAGGAAGTCGTTTAAGAAATCTGGCCATGAAGAATTCTTTAAAAGATTTAGACTTTCCTGAATATATTCCTTGACCTTGTTAAATCTTTTCACCTTGCTAAAAATACAACCCTGACAGCTGAGAGAGTTAATCAATTCTCACACAAAATGCTTGTTGTCTCCAGAGTTTAGAGGATGCCAGGCAACCAGATCTCTTCCTTATTTTCCAAAAATGTTTAGACCTTTTCTAGGAACTGGTCTTCACGGATGGCTGAGCTACAGTTTGTCATACACACAACGAAGGTCTGAGAAATTCTACGTAACCTTAATATATGGACTATTTTTTATCCTCATTCTGGGTGCATGCCTTGTCAGCTTGTACCCATTGTATGTTCGGACTGCACGAGACAACTAATCTAGCCTGCGTTCACTGCATGAGCTCCCTGGACCATAAACCAGAACAGATCTCTTCTAGCTGTTTTTGCCCTTTACCTCTCCAAAACACTCCCAGTTCTGAAGTAGTAAGAGGAGAACAGAAAGGTGGCCAATAGCTGTTAATAGGCGATTTGCACAAAGTGCTGACATCCATACATAAATGAAATCCCCAGAAGGTGGTTGTCCGGTCTTCTGAATCAAGACAGCAGCATGAGGGGTACAGAAGTAGTAGAGGACTTTAACCACAGACAAGGAAAAAAGCTCAGCATCTTGCAAGTGTCTGCATACTCAGAAGAACTATCTACCTTTAGAAATAAATACCTTGGCTCATAATGAGTTTCAAGGAGAAAATTTTGGTAATATTTCAGATTGTAAAACAACGTGCAGCTACCAAGTACATGAAAGATTCTGTGTTCTGTATCTTGAGCCTATCTCAGGAGGCTGAGTGCACATAATGTATCGTGAGGTTAAGTTCCCAGCGGCACTCTGCCTTGTAGCTTACCAGTTGTTTCCTGCCTTTAGGAATAAATTCAGACTTTGCTAAGCAAATTTCACTGAATTTATTTGATAAACTTACATCATAGCCACTGTTACGGATTCCACGTCTAGGTCTTTCTCGGGTAACTAGAAGATCCATCTCAGTTTCTCCTGGGCTAGGGCTGTTCAAAGACTGCCTGCTTCTGTATACAGAATTCTTCATCTGTTGCCTAGAAAACATCAAACAAGAAAACACTAGAATGAAAACAAAAAAATGACAGGCAGCAGCTTTCAATATTAATTATTATTCTAAAATGATGAGTTTCATAAAAAAAGCCATTTTGTTATAACAGGATATCCTTTCTCTGCATACAGAGCTGCTGGAAATCAGAAACGTTACAGAAGAGATAATAGATTTTGTTTACTGTTTATGAAAACACCTACGCAAAAGACATGGACATCCTATATGGGAGCTTATCAGATGAAATGTGCTCCAAGAAGATATTAGAACTCTTTTAGCTTTAGCTAGTGTGATTTATATTAATTAAAAATAAAAAGGTGCTATTAAAACAACATCATCAATTCAATGGATGCTACAGATTGTAAGACTTCTATTTAGGTGCCAAAGTATGGATATTGGTACTCAGCTTTAAGCATTCAAAACTGATAAGACCTGCCTAATATCAGAGTTACAGGTTACACAGCATATCAAAATCAAAACTAGAACTAAAATTCAAGATAAACAACTTAGTTAAAGATGCTGTAACAGACCTGGCTTTGGATTTTCACGGGTGATAGAAATCTCCATGCAGAGTTAACTAGTATAGCTCCTTCTATGGCCTGAAATTCAGAGCTTCCCTCCGTCCTCTTCCAGTTGTCCAAGTGGAAAGTTTTATCATTCAGCAAGGAAAGATTTGGCAGCACCACCCAGCTCTGCTGCCCCTACCACACACCCCTGACTGAGGTGCTGTTGAGGTGCTGTCACCAAATGATACAACAGAGCAGTCCCTGAGCTGCTCTACAGGAGTGCTGCCAAAAAGTCTCAAACAGTTTTGAAGGGGGGCCAAGAGTGCCAGAAGGGAAGCAGGGCCAGACAGGGGGAAAATTGCCCTCACACCCTCAGACAGCACGCAATGATTTTCATGTTTGATCCTAGGCACTGGGGAGGAAGGAGAAAACTCCACTGAAACAGACAGCCAGCAAAGCTGTGGGTAAAAGAGACAACAGTGGCAAGGAACTGCACGCATGATGCAGTTTTGAAATAGCCAGGCTGGTAATTGGCCACAGCTTTTTCAGAGAGCTGTAATCCCTTGGATTAAACTGCTTCCAGCATATCTCTGAGCAGCGCTGGGGCAGAGACATCCCTGTGTATTGAGCTCTCACCACCCTGAGCTCTAGAAGCAAGGGGAGATAAAGGTGCTAGAAAAAAACAAATAGCTCAATAGTCAAAATATTCTGTAATCTCTCTGAAACAACTATTTGTATTTGTAATTGTGTCAGAAAGATGCAATATGCAGAACATATCTGTACCCAAATTTTTCAAGAGTGGTTGTGATATAGGAACTTCATGCTTCATCAAATTGCATCTTTTAGGAAGGCCACATGTAAACCAATAAAGTTTAGGAGATGTTGCTGGAAAAGGTTTATCTGGCCACTAGTCATTTTCTTACACATATCACAAAAGCCCTCCTCCCATTGTAGATCAACCACTGATCAAATAATGACATGCCACTTTCACTTATTAACCTAGTAATTATATTGTTGTTAATGCCTAATATGGAGTTACCTTTATCTGAAGTTATCTTCACCCAATTGCATTCTTCTTCTGCTTTGTGTAATTGCTGTGTTCAAAATTTTAAAAGCAGACCAGATAATCTAACATGGCTGTGTGCTGCTCATTTTGTACAGCGGACCTCACAGTGTTCATAGTGAAGTAACAGAACTTGCACTGTTATGTCTGAATTCACGCTTTCAAGGCTCCATTTGAAAGGTAAGATTTATACCCATTTCCTCAAGACACCAACAAAAGAATGTTTACACTGCAACACTTGCACTCTGCTACCAGATGGAAGTCTCCACCAGGAACTGGGCCCCAGCCCTGGTGCCCACCAGGTAAGAGATAAGCAAAGGTGTAACAACACAGATTTTGAAGTCATGGGCTTCCTCTCCAGTGTCTGCAGCTATGTCAGATGGACAACTGTCCATACCTCTCAGGAAATACTGTTCCTTTTCTCAGGCACTTGAAGCTGCCAGTTACCAACTAACCCTCACAGATTGACTGGAAATGTACACTAATTCTTGGGTTTCCCAAGGATGTTTTGGGTAGTAAGTACCCATAAAGTGTGTCCACAACATTACTTTGCCTAGCTTACCCCGAGAACGTAAAAACATTCTTAGTGTATCACATTCATCTAAGCACATTTTTGCATTAGACAAGATTAAAAAATGAATAAAGCAAGTTTGTTCTAGCAAGGTAAAAGATGATGGTTCTTATTATAAAACTGGGACATTTCTAGCTTTGCCAATGATGAAACTTCACTCTTTTCTCTCACCTGTGTCTCTTCAGACCTTTCTTTCTGGTCTCTGCTCATCCTGTTATCCAACAGGAGGGTCACTTCAGAAACACGGACCTCTTCAACAAGAGCAACAGCAATGACTTACACTTTTTCCCCATCTTCTGAAATTCAGGTCTTTTCATGCCCTTTCCTATCCCCCCATCTCCCATAGTTTTCCTGATTACAAATCCGCTGTGTCTTTTATGTGCTCAAAGGGCTTTCTTGCTGTTCATAACATTTTCAAGACTGTTAAGAGTCTTTACAATTCGGCTATATCAAGAGCTAGTGACTGTTTAAACATCTTGCCAATCCTAGCAGTCTCTTAACTCCCCATTCAGGTGAGACCACACAGAATGAATTAAGAATAAAGGTGTTTGATTTGAGATGAGAGCACTGTCCAATCAATTCCTCATCAGCTACTTCCTTCAGCAGTTTCAGGGCTGCTGTGGTAGGGTGTTCAACACAGTGGTGGGATGATTTTGAGGCTACAATAAGGGAGGATTACAAAGGCAGTAAACATCAGAGCATAACAGCTTTACAGCTATGATTGATAAATTTTTGGAAATCAGAAAAGAGTTGAAAGCAGGGATTTCAAAGGGAGCTATTGAAGGAAGAAGACTTTGTAGACTTTTATGGCATTCTCCTCTGCTTGCTAAGTATCTTGAGAGAAAATGCAATCTTGTGCTAGGATTTGATTGAAGGGCAAAAAAAGCTGATATCAAAGTAAAGTGTGGCTGTGGCTGAAAGTTCTACTTGAAATAGTAAGTGGGGCGAAAATAAAGCCCCCCCACAGTTTGAAATGCTTTGAACTGAACAAACTGATTACAAAAGGATCTACTGCAATATTTGAGAAGCCCAGCGCTCTTTCTGTAAATGACAGAAGAGAAAAATCACACTAAATAGCCTCTGTGCCATTCAGCAATCACAGAGATCTCATGGTTTAACCTCTCAAGAACCATCAATGAAACAGACAACAATTCAGATTAATTCACTAATAAAAAGAAATAATTCTTCAGATATTACAGACTTAGTTAACACAACTTGTTGCCTTGACAGATTAGAGCAGCAGAAACTGGTTCAGAGAATTCCACAAAGGCAGACATTTACATGAACAGAAAGGAAAAAAAGTAGGACAAAATCACCAACATTGACCAACTTTCATATTTCTGATTAAATGAAGTACTCAAGCATGTATTTAATTGTAAGGAGGCTTTCAAAAACTTGTACTCACAAATTCCCAAGCACATGTTTGAAAGTCACAAATGCACTGCCAAATCAGAACACAAGGAGGGGTTTGGGAATGAATTTCCCCTATAAATACGATACTGAATAACTGAAGTGCTTTACTTGAAAGCAGTCTGAGAACATAAAGGACACAGGGGATTTGTAATCAGGAAAACAATGTGGGAGATGGGGGTAGATAGTGGGAAAGGGCATGAGAAGACCCCAAAGTGCAATACATCTTGTTTCTTCCAAAGACTATAGCACTGATATTACCAGAAAAGATAGAGAACTCACTGAATGCTAAGCCTAACCAGATCTAACGATATTTATGTTCTTACATTAAAGGTCTTTAGAATTTCATACATGTTTTACAATAGGTCTATGAGTACTTAGCTGATATAGTTGTGATATATTTTCTAAGGGATTCAAATATGCAGATCTTTAATACATGCAGATTCTTGACCTGATTACAAACTATTAAGGAAAAACCCAGAATAGTGCATATAATCGGTAGGCTCTTTAAAATTGCTTTGAGGTTGCCAATTCGCTCATTTAGGGAAGTTTTACTAATGAGGAAGGAGATATGAACACCAAAAAACTGGCATTCAAATGGGTTAGCAAGGGTCTGCTGGGAACACAACTGGAACATTTTAATACATGAATTTTATCATACAGAAGACTCAAAGGAACTAAGAGTACAAAGCTGTTGATTCTTGAACAAATTAAATTATTCATTGCTGATTTTCTGTAAATCATTTTTTAAATATCACTTGAAACAAAAATGAATATATAAAGGTAACTGAATACTGTAGTTAATTGCATCTTTATTTTCTCATGCATTTTGGAAATGTTATAATAGTGTGTTTCAAGTTAGTGGAATACAGACAGACTAGG